GTGCTGAGGGAGCGCCGCACTGTCAGAGGGTCAGTGCTGAGGGAGCGGGCACTGTCGGAGGGTCAGCGCTGAGGGAGCGCCGCACTGTCGGAGGGTCAGTGCTGAGGGAGCACTCCCCTGCGCCCTGTTTAGTAAGGTGGAAAGCTACAAGCGGTACGATATTCAAAAGGACCGGGGTGGGGTGTTTGTGGTGTGACTGTGGGGTTCGGACGTGGGGGCATTTACTGCTGGGCTGTAAATCCTTGTCAAGCTGTAGCCAGGAAATCGTGGGCATGATGATGGTGCTTTTGGGATCTTGCTGTGCACAGGTCAACAACATTGTATTGCCTTCCATAAATGTCCATTCGGATTTATTTTTGCACTGATGGGCCCAGTGTATAACACATCTCTCTCTCTCCATCACAGACTCCTTTACACTTGGCTGTCATCACCAAACAACCCACCATTATCAGCCAGCTGATGGCCAATGGGGCCTCAAGCACGTCCCTCGACCGTAATGGGCAAACGGCAGTGCATTTGGCCTGTGAGCATAGCTGCCTGGAATGCCTCCGGGCGCTCCTGGCCGGAGGGCATGAGAGGGTGGACCTGGAAATCCGGAATTACGAAGGTAAATGCACCGTCCTGGCCGTTCCTCCGTCACCAACGCCGCCTCCTCTCTCTTACCCGCGGCTGGAACTGTCTCTTCGGTCCCCGGATGTGTCGGCCCTGGACACCGAGGGGTTAACAGCCCAGGGGTCACGTCAGGAATCGGGACGGGGGTGCAGTGTAGAAGGAAGGGCAGCCGAATGGAAAGGGTTAATGCGCATGTCAGGATCCCAAAAGCCGGCCTCAAAAAGTTGAACCGAGGGCATATAGTTGATTTTTGAGGATTCCGAACTCTTCCGCTGTGTTTGAGGGAGCCGGCATCTCGCGGTTCCTGTGAAGGGGCGAGGGGGAACTGGGAATTGCAAGCCCAGAACCATAAGGATGCTGGGAGGCTTTAATGGGGGTGTTATAGGAAGAGTGTCAGGATTAAGGTTCGGATCTGCAGAGGTGTGATAGAATAGTGGGGCACATACAAGGGACTGAATGCCCATCCTCAGTTGACAGACTATTTGCAGCACTCAGCGCCCACAAGTATACCCCCTGGCACTGTGTGAGATGGTGGGCAGGGCTTTTCCTTAATGTATCGACTGAGAGGCAAAAGGTAGGACTGGGAATCGCTCCCTCAGCACTGACCCTCCGACAGTGCCCACTCCCTCAGCACCGACCCTCTGACTGTGCGGTGCTCCCTCAGCACTGACCCTCCCACAGTACCTACTCCCTCAGCACTGACCCTCCGACAGTGCGGCGCTCCCTCAGCACTGACCCTCTGACAGTGCCCGCTCCCTCAGCACTGACCCTCCGACAGTGCGGCGCTCCCTCAGCACTGACCCTCTGACAGTGCCCGCTCCCTCAGCACTGACCCTCCGACAGTGCGGCGCTCCCTCAGCACTGACCCTCTGACAGTGCCCGCTCCCTCAGCACTG